AACTGAAACATCTTTTTTCTTTTTTTCTCATAACATTAACCAATCATTTTCTCTGCCCTCCCCTCATCTTTAGGAGAATTTTCTTCAGGTGATTTGGTTTCAAACTAATTCATTGCTCACTTTCTCTACTATGTTAATAATCATGTTCTGAATTCTAAAACAAGTCCTATCTTGAGCTATCCTTTTCCAAAGATACAATATCTACTTAAATTTTACTTTAAAATTTTTTATTATGTATATACAAAACATTTCAATAATTTTTTATGTGTACTACTCAATTAAACTGTTACTGTATTGTGTAACAATTATGACTATACATTTCCACTTTTTTTTCCATTATGTGTCCCTTAAGTAATAACCTCCCATCTCACCTCCTATTTAGTAGTCACTAATAAATGTTGGTCTCTATCCATTTGCCTTTTCTGACAAGTAGGATAATATAGTATTTGTCCTCTTATTGCTCTACATTTCACTCAGCATAATGTTTTCATGGTTCATCTGTGTCATAACATGTATCACGACTTCATGTTTCTTTATGGCTTAATGAGTTCTCCTTTTACAAATAAATTTAGAATGAGTAAAAATATTTAGGTATGTAATTGATATTTTCATGGTTGCTGTGATGCTGAAGACTGTGACAATGATGTGCCAACTGTGGTAACGGGTACCCATGGTGGACAGTGTTGGCTGGAGCTTCCCGACTAAATCAAGCCTCGAAGTAGGAGCGGCATCCACTTCCGAAATGGCTTGCCTCCGGAAACTCTATGTACGAACAGTGCTCAGGCCGTTCGTTCACAGGGTCGCTATGAGTCATCTACAAATCGACAGCATCAAACAACAACAAACAATTGATATTTAAGAAAGTAAGTCCTCAAAGAAGACATTCGGATGGCCAGTAAGCACATGAAGAAATGTTCAAAATCCCTAGCTCTTTTTTTTTTTAAATCCCTAGCTCTAAGAGAGATGCAAATCAAAACAACTCTGAGATATCATCTCAGAATAGCAGATATCATCCCAGTCAGAATAGCAAAATTTGGGGAGCTCTGGTGGCCTAGTGGTAAGGAGCTGCAACTACAATCCCAGAGGCGCATGGTTC